ATTAAAAGTAAAATTATATTTGTAGAAGACATGTAATCTACATAAGAAATCTAAACAAAATGACTTCTCCAAAACCTCCAACAAACCCACCAACCCCCCCCAAAATACTGAAATTCTTAGACGTGAGTTCCACAAGACAACAAAAGCTAAACACATAAAGGACACATACAGACAGCAAAATTTAAAGAATATAAGTTGCAGTCACTCAAAACAAAAAAGTATAAACTATCAAAAACATGTATAGGACCTATATACTCAATAATGATACACTGTGAAAAAAGTAAATGACAATGAAAGTAAGTGCAAACACATGCTCTGGACTGGAAGATAACCCAGTAAAGATGTTAAATTTTCCAGTTAGGAACACACAACTGAAACTGCAATAAAAAATCCCACTACTATTTTTGTAACTAGGACAATACTATTCCAACATTTATACAGACAGACAAAGGAACCAGAAGAATCAGCACAGGCTATTTCAAAGGCTTGTCAAGCTACAGTGAACTGCTGTTATTGGCAGACAGATAGATACAGATCAATGGAACAGAACAGAAAATCTAGGAACAGACACACAAATATGTCAAAATAATTTTTGACAAAAGTGTTAAAGCAATTAAAAGGAGGTAAGGTGGTCTTCTAATAAATTATGCTGGAGCAATTAAACATCCCTGGGGAGTGGCAGCTAAAACAATTCTCACATCAATTTTAAATCAAAATGGATCATAAACTTCAATGTGAAATATAAAATCACAAAAATTTTAAAACAGAAGAAAATTTTCAGAATCTAAATTACTAAGAATTCTTAAACTTGACATAAGTAGAACCTATGAGAAAACTGTAAGCTAGCCTTTACCAAAATTAAAAACTTTCTTCGAAGAGACAGACCACTAAAAGAAAATATGTACAAACCACAACTTCAACGAAGGACTAGTATTTAGAATATTTAAAACATTTCCAAAACTTAACAGTAAAAACAACTAAATTAGGATACAGGCAAACACAGAAAGAGATATTTCACAGAGGAAGAAAAGCAGATAAAAACAGTTTAGCAAGCCAGCCAGATGGCTTAGCAGATAAAGCGCCTGCTTAGGCAGACACAGAGGCTGGGAGTTCAATCCCCAGCATGCTGTGTTGGCCCTGCCCCCGGAGAACACTGAGAACAGACTGAGACTGGGCATGGTGGCATGTGCCTATAATTCTAGCACTTGGAAGGCTGAAAACAGGGGGATTACTACGAGTCTGATCTGTGTAGTGAGACCCTATACTAAATATAAAAATTAAAAAAAAATGAAAAGTTCAGGAAAAATTTTCCCTGGCACTAGGAACTGAATCCACCAGACCTCTGCCACATTTGATGTCCTTAAAAAATTAACCTACAACCCAAGGACCCAACAATTACAGTCCTGGGCATTTATTCTAGAAAATGAAGATTCAAGTTCACCAGATAATTCATCATATGGAGGATGTTTAACAGCTTAAATTCTTTTTTTTTCGGAACTGGGGATTGAACTCAGGCCCTTGCTTATTCCACTGAGCCATCTCCCCGGCTCCAACAGCTTAAATTCTAACAGCTCCAAATTGTCAACTCAGATGTCCCTCAATAGGTAAATGGTTAAACAAACCACATAAAGAATTAACTTCAGTAAAAGAAGCCAATCTCACCAAGTAGGGTCACACTTATATAACATTCTTGACACTGGTGGTTGTTACAAGTTAAGAACTATTGCAAAGAAGAGAAAGTTGGCATGGCTATGAAAGATCAACATGGAAGAACTTTTGAGGATGGAAAGTTTCTGCTTTTTTTTTTTTTTTTTTTTGGCAGAACCAGGGATTGAACTCAAGCCCTTGCGCTTGCCAGGGAAGCGCTTATTCCACTGAGCCATCTCCCTGGCCCTCTGCATCTTTTAAAGTCCATAAATGTGTGTAACGATGGGGCACAATGTTACATCCCAATTCATGTACAGGCTGTGAGATGATCAACTCAAGTTAAATGAAGTATCTATCACCTCAAATACTTATTTCTTTGTAACCAGAACATCTAAAATGCATTCCCTTAGCTATTTTGAAATATTAACTATACTCACCTGCAGTGCCGGAAGTCAGGAGAACCTATTCCTCCTATCAAAACTCTATCTGCAACCTCAGCTGCTGGTAATCATTCTTCTACCTTCTGAGTTTGGCTTTTTCTTTTTTAGATTCATGCACAAGATCATTGGAATTTGTCTCTCCAACCCTAGATTAATTTACAAGTGTTCTATACATTGACCATTCTGTTTGTGCTACTGTACTACAGTTTTGAGAGATGACACCATCAGCAGAAATTGTGTCAAGGGCACAAGGACTGTTTTGCACGTCTTACAACTGCACGTGAATCTGTAAGTATCTCAAAATACTGTAAAACAATGGGGGAAGTGCAAAAGTAAGACCTGAGTACCTAAAGTCAAAGTCCTGGAGCTCTCTGCAATCAACTTTAAAGAAAATAACAAGAACCGACTAATTGAGGCAGAAATACTTTTGGTCTGTAGGAGTGTATTATAGCAAAGACAAGGTTGGATTATGTGGTACATTTTATTTCTTTTAAGTAAAGAAGCTGTGAGACAGCAAGGATAAATTTTTTCACAAAGATAACTGTTTTAAGAAGTAGCTGGCAAAATATTGGAAGACCCCCCAAAAATTAAGCAAAATTAAAAAAAAAAAAACAACCCTGTGCTACTAAACACAAAAGTTTAAGGAACTATCTACAAAGCTGAGACTTAAAAATATAAAGCCTTTGTGAGATACTGCAATTATAAGGAATAAACATAATAGCAGAAATGAGAGAGCAAGGTGCCATCAAAAATGATGGACAGCTGGAGACCACCCCGCCCATCTCAAGGGTATAATTATTTTCAGGGGATTTATGTACACTACCGCAGTCTGAAAATGTGTAGCTGATAACCAGAACTTCAATTAAGTTTGTAAAGTCTTTGTTTCCCCCTGTATTTAGGACGGGGTCTACAGAGTCTAAAGGGTCTCACTAGGTAGATCGTAGTAATCCCCGTTTTCAGCCTCCCAAGCGCTGGGATTATCAGCATGTACCACCACACCCAGTCTCGATCACCATCTGAGCACATCCTGTGGGTGGGGCCAGCACAGCACACCAGAGATCGAACCCTGGCCATTGCTCTGCCTAAGCAGGTGCTTTAGTCTGCTGAGCTATCAGGCCGGCCCACGTTTGTAAATTCTTACTGAACATGGATTATGGTTTGTAAATTAAAAACTGTGAGCTTATAAAACTTTGAGATGGAAATACACACAATGGTAGTTTTCCTATTCCATGATGATTTATTTCTTTTTGCATTAAAAATTAGTAAGACAGTCACAAAACACTTCATTCTGGTGGTCAGTATATGGGCGTATTTTGTAACTATTAGTAGTTTTCTGTTCTTCAAATTTAGAAGCAGAACATATAGTTAGGAGATTTAACAACAAAAAAATGCATCCTTAGTTTTTATTCACTAGACTTCTAAGAAGCCTGAGCTGGTCTAACCAACAAATAAAAACTCTCTAAGTAAAACACTTACATAGCCGTTGAATATGATTTCATATACGTTATAAATGTATGCTGTTTTTCATTTACTTTCTAAATTGTTTTTATAATATATAAAATGAACTTAGAGATCAGGGCGATAGCTCAGTGGAATAAGTGCTTGCCTGGCAAGCGCAAGGTGCTGGGTTCGCTCCCTGGTACTGCAAAAGTAAGTAAATAAATAAAATGAATTTATATGAATAAAATGTCACCTTACTGACTACATTTTTTAAGAAACAGGAATGCAATATTTGAAGGAGTGATAATTGTTTTAGAAAGTAGCTGTATAGTAATCTGGCCAAGAACAGTAAAGAATCAATCTGATTTTTAAAAAAGTTACAAGCCTTGATATATTGTTAAAATAGGAGTTCCCACCTTGCTTGTTAAAAACAAGTATTTCAAGCCAGGTATGGTGGCATACACCTGTAGTAATCACAACATTTGGGAAGCTAAAGCAAAAGAACTTCAAGTTTAAGGCCTCAAAAAAAATCAGAAACAAAAATTGTTTTCATTTCATTCATGATAGTTCTTATGGACCAATTATGGCCCTGGTTTCTAACATATTATAGTCAAGTGCTCACACATCAAGTTCAAAATATATACTCAATTTCTTATCTTTAGTAGCAGGTCTCAATAGTTCTATTTACTGTTTTCTGTAGTATTTTATGAGTCTTTTTTTGGTGGGTTTCTTTTTTTTTGAGACAGAGTCTCACCATATAGTTCAGGCTGGTCTTGAACTACACTCAAAATAAAGGAGGCGGAGGGGTCCCTGGGAATGAAACTCAGTTCTAACAGAGCACCTGTACTGGGGAGCTGTGGCTTCAGAAATATGTCACCAAGACACACAAAGGGTTGACTGAAACAAAGCCTCTGGAAGAGCAAAAAGAACACAGAGCTGAGCATTATTTCTGACATATTTCTGAAGCCACAGCTCCCCAGGACAGGTGCTCTGTTAACTGAGTTTCATTCCCAGGGGCCCCTCCTCCTCCTTTATTTTGAGTGTAGTTCACGACCAGCCTGAACGATATGGTGAGACTCTAGGTGCAAAAAGAACACAGAGCTGGGCATTTTGGTGTGCACCTACACCCCAGCTGCTATGGAGGCTGAGGCAGAGAAACAGAAAATTTGAGGTCAGCTTGAGTAATACTGTACCATGACTTGAAAGAAATAAATACATAAAAAAAAAGCCTGAGAGATAGTTCAGTGTGAGGCTCTGCGTTCAATCTGCAATACTACCAAATTAAAAATTAAAGAAAGACAATAGGTACTACTAAATAAAGAAGTAAGAAAGACTCTGGGACATATCTAAGGAGCTATGAATTTTAGCAAACAGTGAGTCCACAAAAAATCTGATAAAAAGATTCTCCCATGGTTTCTTTAAACTTCAAAGACATACATAAAACTGTAAGAAGCACAAATACAGAAATCATACCTCTTAAGCATAAAGTCTGCAACTGAAACAGTTTTCCCAGCTCAAAAGGTAGAACTCGTAACAGGTTATCATTTAAACGGAGCTCCCTGTTGACATAAAAATGCCAGGAAATAAGAAGATATATTAACTATTAAAGCAACAACATAATTTTTTGGAATATAAATACATAAGAATAACAAACCTTTGTATTATATTCCAATGTTAGGCTCCCTAAAAATAACTGCTATAGACCAACCTTTCTGTAAAGTTCAAGAAAAAAGTGAATTTCCAGAAATATGAAACAAAAAAAGACAAAAATCACAATTTCCAAGTTTTAAAAATTCTTACAGTCAAAAGATACGTAACAATTACTCTCAATTACAATATTCCTCTCGTTGTAGGCTGGAAACACAAGGCTTGCAAACTAGCACTACTCCAGAGCAGTATGAGTAGCACTGATTAGCACAGAAGCTGTCTACTACATATGTGTAAATCAGAGAAAATAATTATACCTAACACATGAACTAAAAAAAAGATCAAGTAGTGTTAACTCAAAAAGGATTACTGATAGCCACACAATTTTGTTACTATTTCCCTACATTTACTGAGATTTCATTTTAAAAACAACAGCAGCTGTATCTGCTACTGATAATTATTTTAATGACTTTTCTGTGCAGATAACCATAATATAAATATTTTAAGAATCCTCAAGGAAAAATATAACAACCAGATATCCAATACTGACATAATGGTAATTGCCCATATTTATTTTATTTACCAGATCTTAAGTGTGAAGGAGAATTATTTCTAAAATCCTTCTTTTCTGAAATTTAAATGAAACATGATCAACTCTGAGCAAACCAAAGCCATCATCTCAACAAGAAAAACTAGCTCTTAATAAATGGTTCCTATCTCTGTCCAAATACATCACACAGGAAAACAGACCCTGTAAGTCAACTTGTTCAGAGATAAAAAATGGCTATAGTCACCCAATAACTGAGCCTAGAAAAATGTCAAAAGGCTGGACTGGGAGCCGTAGAGGCCAAGAAACTCCCACAAGGCACTTACTCCTTTTTCCCAGAATGCAGCAGGCAAGCTAGCAAAACTGCATAAAGGCCAGATAAACTGAGATTGACATAATGGACAGAAATTCAGCTTTATTTAACTTGAATCTTATCCACCTTACTTAAAAATACTAATAATTTAAAAAAGCAATCACTAGTTTTTAAAATACAGTATGTGAAATGCAGGGCACTAGGAGCTTTGTGGTTATTGTCTTAGTATCCCTATCATCAGACTGAGAAGCTTGCCCAAGATCACATAAAATGCAGACAGCAAAGTCCAGATTCTAACCCAAACACTGTGCGCATTCAAATCCTATATACTGAACTATAAGATACCAAATTTAATAAATACATCAAATTTAATGAACTCTGTAATCCTAGTTTCTTTCATGTCTTAGGTTTTAATACTATCCACAGAAGCCAAGGGATACAAAAGTTAGCCAACTAACAATAGTTTTGCGGATGAATATTAAGGGGGTACAGTACATTCATCTGTCCATCATACAAACAGGGGATAATACAGATGCCTCATAGCTATTTATCTTTACTTGTCTAAAATTTTTGGTTCACAATGTATGTTACACAAAGCATAACAATAAAAAATTTCTATCATGTACTATTTATTTAGTTGACCTTAAGCCTTTGTAAAAAAAAAAAAACCTTCAAAAAAGAATATATTTTTTAAATTATCTTTTAATGTATCTTGTGCAGGGTCTCACTACACAGCTCACTTGTAGGGATCCTCCTGTTTTTAGGCCTCCTAGCACTGGGATTATAGGCATGTGCCACCATGCTTGGACTCTTACTTTTCTTTAAATATGATCAAATGGACTGTCTTTTTTCTTAAAATAAATGTTTTACATTGTTTCAGAAGTTATATACTTGGTATGTAGTAAGTTGAATCTATACACCTGAGTGAAACCATGTTTCCGAGTTCTGCCGGTAAACTTCGGATTTTATTACAGGATAGGTCCAGATACACCAGATTGTGGAGCTTGGCAATGTCTGAAGGAATGCGAGACAGAAAATTGTCGCTCAGATGCAAAGCTGTCAGGTGAGTTAATGACCATAGAGATGAGCTTAAGCTTCTTACTTTTCCTGTAAGAGAGGTAAAAAAAAAAAAAAAAAAAGATCAGCGAGAATTATACAGTGATTCTTCAATTTGGTCTGTGGATTGCACATGATTTATAAGCTTTGATAAGTAATTTAAATCATTATCCAAAACTGTGGAAATGGTTAATGGGCAATCTTACCTACTCTAAAACAATTTACTGCTAATCATTAAATTATAAACTCTCTCTCTTCAGTGCCGGCAATAGAACTCAGAATCTTGCACTTGCCAGGCAGTAAACTCTCTTCTTTGCAGATTAAAACAAAGATTAAAGCAATGTATTAATACTCAGACTGTACCTTTAAGAGCATATTGGAGAAGAATTTATCCTTTGAAATGACCTTCAGGTACCATGTATAAAAAGTATGAATAATTTATAGTTATGTTAAATCCAATATTCAAACATATGTTATGGTTTAGATCTGGGATGTGTCCCCCAAGACTCGCAAGTGTCTGGAAGCTGAATGTACTACAGGGGCACTGTGCTCACTCATGGGCTAACGCATCGATGCATTCATAACTGAGTGTGCTAGGCAGGACACTGGAGGCAGGTCTTGAGAGACTTATCTCCTTCCCAGGTTCCTCTCATTTCTTTGGACTGAAACATTTTTTTATTTTTTATTTTATTTATTTATTTATTTTTAAATATTTATTTATTTTTATTTATTACATTTATTTATTGTGTGTGTGTGTGGCCAGCTCAGCCCACCAGGGGGCGGGTCTGGCTGGCATGTGGTGCTGGGGATCGAACCGCGGTCCCTGTGCTTTGCCAAGCTTGTTTCAAGTAGGTGCTTTAGACCACTGAGCCATCTCTCCAGCCCTGAAACATTTTTTTAATAGTGTGCTCAAATTAATCCCTCTTCCTTGTGTGGGTGTTGGGTATTTTGTCCCCAAAAATGTGAGCAAGACAGATTCTGGTAAGAGAAGGAGCGGAGTCACTGCTGTGACAATCTGACTGGTCTGTGGGATAATTTAGCAAAGGTTTGAGGTGCTGGCTAGAAAAACCCTAAAACGCTATATGCCAGGCTTAATGGGAGACTCTGGACAAGCTCAGGATGTTTGAGATGAGAACAAGGACTCCAAGGGCAGCTGGACCAGAGAACATGTGTAGGATGGTTTGGCAGAAAATTTGTCTACATTTTGCTCCTGTCCTGAGAATATGGAAGACTAATCTGCCAAAGGAATTTCAAAGCAGTCCAACGTTTAGGCTGTGGCATGAGTATAGATGGTAGCTTTTAATCAGGTTCATTTTGAAAATCAGGAGTAAAAAGCACATTTTAAAAATGTTCGGTTAAACTTACAGCCCCCATCAGTGAGTGTGTCTTCTCTCTTACATCTGTGTGTGTGTGTGTGTGTGTGTGTGTGTGTGTGTGTATTTTTTTTTTCTTTTTTGTGGAACCCGGGGATTGAACTCAGGACCCTGAGCTTGCCAGGCAAGTGCTTATTCTACTGAGCTATCTCCCTGTCCATCACATCAGTATATTAAAAGGATAATTAAGTACAATTTGTGTTAGAAATTAAAGATTTGCTGCATATTCCAAAATCAATCTAAACTCATTATTTTCACAGACTAAAAAAGAAAATTCTTATAACCATTTAACAGTAATTTGACAAAATGTTACATCCATACCGGATTTTTTTTTTAAAAGAAAAGCTACTCAGTTATCAAATTTCTTCACTTGATAAGGACCATCAATAAAAAACTGGGACAAAGAATTGAAAGGTTTTTCCCTAAGAAGATGAAATAGGCAAGAATGTCTATTCTCACCACTCCTATTCAGTATTATACTGGAAGTTCTAGCCAATGCCATAAAGGAAAAGAAATTACTTGGAAGGCAAAAGTAAAACAATCTTTCTGCTAATAGCATAATACTCTACATCACAATTCTACTGTAGGTTTAAAAACAGGCAACAATAAGTGAGCATGGGATAACATAGCAATATACATAGCAAAAAAGTATGTTGTTTTCTAAATACAAGCAACGAACAATCAGAAATGAATTTAGTGATATTATTTACAACACCATAAAAATTACGAAACAAGGGTCAGGGACATAGCTCAGTAGAGTAAGTGCTTGCTTGGGAAGCACAAGGGCCTGAGTTCAATCCCCAGTTGCAGAAAAAAAAAAAAAAAAAGTAACATTTACTGATAAACCTGACCAAAGAAAGTATAGGATCCATACTGAAAACTATAAAGCAATGCTGAGAGAAATTCAAGTACTAAATAAGTGAAGAGATGTATAAGCTTTAGAGATGAGTTAGAGCTCCACAAACCATCTACGAGAGGCAACATAATCTCAATCAAAATGCCAGTAGACTTGAAATCAATGAACTGGTTAGAACATTCATATGGAGAGACTAGAGGTGCAGCTTTGTGGCAGAACACAAGCACAGGGCCAGGGAGATGGCTCAGTGGAATAAGCGCTTCCCTGGCAAGCGTAAGAGCCTGAGTTCAATCCCCAGTTCTGCCAAAAAAATAAATAAAGAAAGAAAAATAAAGCACAAGTGCAAATTCTCTATTAAAAACAAACAAACAAAAAAAACCCCACAAGCACAGCAAGAGTAACACCCTGAGTTCAATCCCAAGTAGCATGAGGAAACAATTTTTACAGAAATCAAAAGGACTTTAGAAATACCAAAACTACTTTGGAAAACACCAAAACTATAAGGTTAGTACTGACCTGAAGACTTACAAAAGCCATGGATGTGTCCTTCCAAAATTCATTATGTTGAAAATTTAACCCGCAAAGCAATGATATTGACAGGTGAGAGATCACAGGAGGTTTCACGCCATGAGGATTAATGTTAAATCAGAAGTGGATTCATGCATGGAAGTCTAGTCTCCCTTCGTTCTCTCTCAACATTTCTTACTATATTATGCACAGCAAGATAATCCTCCTCAGATGCAGTCTCCCTTGATCCTGGACTTTTTTTTTTTTTTTTTTTTTTGCGGAACTGGGGATTGAACTATGAACTATCTCCCCGGTCTGATCCTGGACTTATTAGCCTCCAGACCATTACCAAATACATTTCTACTGATTATAAATTATCTAGTCTGTGTTGTCCTTTAAAGGAATATAAAAAGGACTAACACAGAACTCTCAAAATTCAGTAAGAAAACCATAAAATTTTCAAAAGGAGTAAAAGATCTGGAAAAACACTTCACTAATGAAGCTATTTAGATGAAAAATAATCATATGAAAAGATGCCATTTGCACATCTTTCCAGATTTCCCTTCTTGAGTTTTCTTTCCACCTTATCTTTGTATGAAGATGCAGTTCTTCTGGCAAGATAGGATTAGGATTGCCCTGTGTAAGAAAACTCAACGTACAAATTTACACGGTCTTTCATAAATTCAAAGAAACTATGTTTATACTTACATTCATTTAGATTTACAAAGACGTGTAAATATAAATGAGTAATGTGATGTGTTTTGGTTTGTGTGTACATCTGTGAAACCATCAAAAAAATCAAGAATATCTATCATTCCTGAAAGTTTCTGACCCTTCACTTCTCCAGCAATTGCTTAAATGGAAACAGTTTCTATGAATTTATGAAAGACTTTGCAGACTTGTACCTCTACTTTTCTTACACAGGGTAATCATAATTCCATCTTGCCAGAAGAACTGTGTCCTCCTACAATAAGGTGGAAAGAAAACTGGAGAAGGGAAAAAGGGAGAAAGTATACAAACTCATATAAGAAAATCATAGATGGTGAAGAGGAAAGAAACAAGGGAGGGCTCACCAAGGGAAGTGGGAGATGAAACACGTTTCTAAACACACACACATACACTCCCAGAAAAGTTAACAGAAAATATTTAAGAATAATTTAAAATCTAAGATCCAACAATGAAAATATATATCAGTTTAAGCTTATTAAAATTTTAAATGTCTTTTTTATTTTTTATTTTTTTAAATTTTTATTTATTTGTGTGTGTGTGTGGCCAGCTCAGCCCACCAGGGGGCGGGCTGGCTGGCATGTGGTGCTGGGGGATTGAACCTCGGTCCCTGTGCTTTGCTAAGCTTGTTCTAAGTAGGTGCTTTAGACCACTGAGCCATCTCACCAGCCCCTAAATGTCTTTTTTTAAATGTTCATACAGCAACATGTATGAAAAGCAAAATTGACATACATCAACTGAATCAAATTTTCATAATCTTTTCTATGGTGTGGTAGGGGCTGGGGAGATAGCTCAGTGTAATAAATGTTTGCCTGGCAAGCACAAAGTCCCGAGTTCAATCCCTGGTACTGCCAAAACAAAAACAAAAACAAAAAACAACTCTTTTTATAGTGTGGTGAGAAGATGGTAAATAACACAATGTCCCCACCCTTGTAACTTTTTATGTGAACTATATAAAGGATAAAAGAAATAAAAAGATAATCAACACAAGGAAAATGAACAACAAATAAAAACAGGCAAGTCACTTTTAAAAAAAAAGTGCAGACTAAGGATGTTGTGGGAGGCAGGGGGTAGTAGAACACCTGCCTTAAATACAGCAGGGTTGCCCTGGGTCTGATTCATCATACCACAACAAAAAGGATGGGAGAATATTTGCATTTAGCCTATGAACACTCTACCCGCAATATAAATAACTATTACACTGTATTATCAGAAGAAAAGCTCTGTATGTCCGGTACAAACACAATTTCTCCCAATATTTAACACCCCGGTTGAGTCAATGAATGTGAAAACCCAAAATATGGAGGATTAAGTAAATTCATTTCTACCTACATAATAGGTAAATAAAAGATTACAATATAATAATAACAAGCTTAAGGTGCAAATACATTTATTGTGAGAAGGGTATAACTATATTTTGAAGCCAATCTCATATTTTACCTAAAATTTTAAATCTGAGTACCCTTTGCCCATTGCAATTCCACACTTAGCAATTTACCAATAAAAATATTTGCAAAGTATGCCAACATATTTATCTTGGTAGAGGTGGAACTTAGAAATAACAATCATTAAAATGGAACAATGATTCA